GGGGGAGGAGGAGGAGGAGGAGGAGGAGGAGGAGGAGGAGGAAGAAATATTACTCAGCCTACTCATGTACAAAGGAACAAGTCAGAAAAACATGATCCATGTATCAATCATGTGAACCCGGTGTGGTCTTTGTGTCGTTTTGTTGATTCGTTTCTTTTGTTTTTACATCAATAAATGCAATAAATTAATGAAAATACAACACTCTCCTGTCTATGTTGCCTTCATTTTAAAAAGATACAGATGCAGTGTTAGAAATTGAAAAAGCGGGGACATCATGGAAACAGCTAGAAAATGATGCTCAGGACATGCTTCGCTGGAGTAATGCTGTTGATGGCCTGTACTCCACTGGGAGTTAAAAAGGGCAAGAGAGAGAGAGAGGTGCCACGGCAGGAGAAAAGGACAGGAAAGAAGGAAAGGGTAGCTGAACACAAGGGAAAACAAGTAAGGAAAGGACGTATTAACGTCAAGGATACTGTCTATGATGGCGGGTATGCAGTTAACATTGTGTCCCCAAGACGGAAAGCAGTTTATTGTCTTACCCAAGACCCTACCTCTGTAGTTCCAACCCAGTTATGGACATACTCGTATGATGAACGAGGCCATTTACACCAAAATGGCTCGTGGCATGAGATCATTTTCGAACCCGGGACCTTTGAATGAGAGGCGAACACCTTAAACTCTAGGCAACAAGAGCCCCTGACGAGCAATAAGTATCATTATTATTAATCGGAGGGTGGATCAAAATGTGAACGAGGTTCAGAAATGAGTGATGTTAGAGGCGAAAGGCTTGACGTTGTGTCCTTGGAAAAGGCACTTTACACGAATTATTCTCACCGACCCATGTGTGAAAGGGAACCCCTACATAGACAGAAGAAAGGTCTTGTGAAAAGGTTAGTTTTTCGCTCCTATAAAAGGCAGCTTGTACTGTATGCTTTCCCGGAAGTTGAGATTGTTTCGGAATGATATCCGGTAGTCTGCAGTAATAATTTAGATTGTAAATCGTATAGAGGTTGCTGTTATGAGTGAATTTGCGTTATACAAATGCTGTCTATAATAATTATTATCATAAAATGAAAGTGTGGCTAGCCATTAGCTCACTTGATATCATGCTGTACCACGAAGCGGATGTCCCTGGTTCGACCCCGAAAGGGTGCATTCTGAAATTGGACTATTTCGGGGAGTTTTTATAAGGCTCAATTGACTCGGTTCTATCGGAGACGTGCGTGGAATTCGTCGGTCCTTCTCAACAGAACACAATGTCAAAAGGGCGTTAAACCTATACAGTTTCAGGTACGTAAAATGGCGTCCGAAAATAACTTGAAAATGAAATCCCTCTATCAACGTGTTAAAATCTTGCACGACCTTCTCAAGCAGCATACCAATTTTATGCTAAACAAGTTTCGCCCGACAGAATATGATCGCTCAAAACTGAACTTAAAAGATAATTATTGGCAAATAATTCTGTCAAAGCAAACAAACTGAAAAGTATGCCTGAGTGTATCAACATATATTGCATGTATATTAATGTATGAATGGAGAATTTTCTTGTCGGCAATAATCCATATTGTATTACGATAGTTTAAAATAGATAACAGATCAGTAAAAAAAAATACCACGAAAAGCCTGGACTTATATTTGCTCATGAACATTTTGTTTACGAGACATTGTTGTTTTGTTTGGAACACGAACTATTTGGGGATGGACTGTGTTACATATTGGATATAGATTTCTAATTGTCTGTCATTTCATCTCAAATGACAAAGAGAGTTGCAAACATAGCGTCTGAACTTGGAGCAGAGTTGCGTTTCTTCAGCTGTTGTTTCATTGAGCCCCACATAATTATCTCTAGGATTCGTATCCGGGATATTTACTGGAAACCAGTCGTTGGTATGATTTGCTTTTCTGAGAATTGTCTTAGGGCTCTGACCTTGTAAAAAGGCGCTTTGTCAAGCATAAAGAAGACTACTTGAATAACACAATGACGGACTAAGGGTAAGATATAACGTCCCTGCACTTGTCGATGTAGTCATCTAAACGAAACCTTCCGTCGATTCTTACCACTGAGGTTTTGTTCATTCCCAGCCTCACCACCCAAAACCTTGGCAGTTTCGTGGTCTCTGTTCCTCACTGACAGTTGATTATGTACAAAATCTAACCAACACAGTCCATGCACAATAAGGGTTGGGGCTCTACACGAAACCAAAGGCTCGTAAAACAAAATACTAGAAAAGTGCACGCACCGTTAATTCCACGTTTTGATTGGTGTTCGTGACTGTCGTTTTTCCAATCTATCTGAATATATCGTAATGAAACAGTACAGTGTTCATTGCAGAGACAATAACATTATCTGTTAAATTTGATACACAATACTTGACGTCCATTCCACCAATTTGACCCTAGCAATGGCGAAAATATTTTAACGTTTCTTTGATTTCACACAATTTTGTCAAGCATGATTTCTAAGGTTAATTTTGAGTGATCATATCTCGGGCTACTCTTGTCCTAGATTTTAGAAAATTATCACTGTGTGAGAATGATGAAGCAGAAGTTATTTATCTTTAATGTCTTTTGTTGCATGAGTGGGTACTACACGACTCTATCACGATGATTGGGTAAATTTATACATTTTCAGGTATCTTTTGGACGCCCCTGTATATAACAAGGCTAACTTTCAGGTTGAATAACTCTCGAGAGATCATAGTAACACACTCAAATAACCCTCAACTGGGGTAGAATCCTGTCATTACTATCTTTGTCCTCAGAGAGGGCGGCAATTGGAAGGTGGGGGGGGGGGGGAGACGAGGAGAGAGGGAGAGAGAGAGGGAGAGAGAGAGAGAGAGAGAGAGAGAGAGAGAGAGAGAGAGAGAGAGAGAGAGAGAGACAGAGAGAGAGACAGAGACAGAGTTAGAAACAGAAAGAAAAGAAGGAAAGTGAAGACGTAGAATTTACCAGTGGAGCCTTCCAGCCACCCCTACAACAGTTCCAACTTTAACAACAGATGTTCTCCTTAAGAGACCAGACCGACGCGCTGACTCTCAACCAGTCTCTGTCTCACGATGACCCCCAGTGGTCCTCCCAGTCCTCAGCAGCTGCCACCACCACAAACAGATCTGTGCTGTCTTTCGACGAAGGATTAATTGAGGACTTTCCCATTTACGAGGCCGGACTTTTCCTCAACCGCATCTACCTATGGGTGGTTTTCGCTCTTGGTTTCCCTGGCAACGTCTTTGCTATCGCAACTTCCCTAACCTTGACCCCTCGCTACCGCAGCTCGTATTATGTGGCGACCTTGGCCTTTGTGGACAACGTTTGTCTCATTTGTAAACTTCTGTTCATGACCTTGACCCGTTATGACGTCAAACTGGGAGATGTCGGGTGCGGTATGCTGGAGACTCTGGGTAATGCTACAGGGCAGCAGGCGAACTGGTTACTGGTTGCCATGACTACGGAGAGGTGCATTGCTGTGACGTCACCTTTTCTGAGTCGACGGATTCGTGCAAGGTGAGATAAGGTACGGCGCTCAGTCTATCTGTTGTTTTTACGATCTTCAAGGTTTCCTAAGTTGTCTGTTTAACTAACTGTCTCTCTTTCCGTGCCTTATTGCGTGTTTCTATGTCTGTCTATTCCCATTTCTCACACATACATAATATGCAAATTAAAAACAAAAATCCTTTCG